CTGCTGCCCGCCGCTGAGCTGAGCCGAGCCGGGCGGGCCGGGTCGGGCCGGGCCGTGCAGTGCCGCGGGGGACGCTCGCTGCGGGCCCGGCGGAGGGACTATGGGCAACGGGATGTGCTCGCGAAAGCAGAAGCGGGTTTTCCAGAGCCTGCTGCTGCTGAGCGTGGTGTTCGGCTTCATCTACGGGGCGATGCTGTACTACGAGCTGCAGAGCCAGCTGCGCCGGGCCGAGGCGATGGCGCTCAAGTACCAGCAGCACCAGGAGTCGCTCTCAGCCCAGCTGCAAGGTAACGCGGCTCCCGGCCCCCCCGCCACGAGTCCCTCCCCACCCCCGCATACATCTGCCCCGCAGCTGCCGCTCCGCTCCGGCCTCGCCCTTCCCCCGGGCCCTGCCCCCACGTGTAGGAGAAATGCGCCCCTCGAAGGCCACTGACTTGAATGTGGCCAGGATTTCCTCCCCTCCACAGGGCCCTCTTATTGCGGAAGGATCACAGGGCACCTTGCAGCCTCCAGCTGCAAAAGCAAACTCGCTGCATCCCCTTTTCTTATTCCCCTGGCCCCGCAAAAGCCAGCGGCTGCGTTTTGACTTTTGTCTCAGCTTTCCGGGTTGCCTGTTGGCAGCTGAGATGATATCCCGTTGTGGGAAGGGATGGCTGCGCTTCCTGGGCACCAGCCTGAAAGTTAGGGGGCTCTTGCTACGCCAGGTGAGGAACGGTTCAGATCCTCTTTCCTGAGCTACTTGAAAAACAGAGAAGATGAGGCTCTGGTACTGGCTTCGACTATTTTGGCGCAAAGCAGTTGCCTAAACGTGGCTGCTCATCACCAGGCACTTCCGAGTTTAGGATGCTCGAAGTGGAGATTATTTTGCTCTGGAAACTGATTGCTCTCAGTTCCCAAGGATGCCTGCATGCAAAAACATCAAAACTGTGTATGGACCATCAGTACTGTGTAAAGTGCAAAACTTTTTAAGTTCCTCTGGAAATCTGGTCCCGGCTGCCTGAAATCAGGCACACACAAATCAGTGCCTGCTTTTGAAAGCTTTGGCCTTAGTATGTATAGTTTCTGTTCAAAGTGTTTGAGGTGGCCACAAATAAATATTGAGCATGTGATGTGTTTAACCATCCTGGAACTTTACACGCTGCACTGACGTTACACGCTGCACCAACTGTCCAAACAGCAGTAGGATCAACACTATTGATTTGATCCTGCAACCTTTACACATGGACAGCAGGATTGGGTTAAAGGTTTTTAATTTCTTATTGGAATTTGTTATCGCACGGATTTAGTAGGCGCCAAGTCCATGGTTACTTAGTTTCAGCATCTCCAGTTCAGATAGAATAATGCTATGGCACACCTTGGCGGGGGCATCACTGTAGTGACCGAGGAGGGATGAGGGGGAGATGTGACTGATGGCTGAATGGCTACTGTAGCTGGTCTGCATATTTGCCAAGAGTATTTGAAGAGGAAATAGAGAAAACCAGATCATCTTGTTCTTTGGGCAAGTTAAACTTCAACAAGTTTATTACTTTCACTGACCTAGGGGGTAGCAGAGTAACTCTACCGGTGGCATTCATCCTACAGATTGAAACTTTACCAAGATAGAGAAGAGGGGATAAAATGGCTCCCCACATTGGGGCTATGTTATAATTAAACTATTCACTTTGTAAACTTTATGGGTTAGTGACTATTTTCCCATGAAAATAAATGCGTTAAAAAACAGGAGGGAAACAGTCAATAGAAAGACCAGAAAAAACATGTCTCGTGCTACCTTACATATCATTTTCCTCTTACCATTTTAAATTAATCACTGAACAACTAATAATGTTTCCCCCAGAGTTAATGTATTTTAATAATATATGCTTAAAAAGGAGAGTGAGCCTCTTGGGCATATCAAGCATATGTAAAAGACTTTTCTATCAAAAGATGCCCTACAGGTAAACCTTTATAATAAAGATAAATATACGTCCCTTCATCAGGAGAAATGAAGAGACACCGGTTTTACAAAAATGGCATTCTTGAATACATTTTTCTCTTGCTTTCTGTAATTTCTGGGAGGTAGGCTCAGAGCTTCAAATGTATTTAGCCAGGGAGGAGGCTAGAAAGAAATACTATCTCCCATGCATTTTCCATCCTGTGTGCACCTAACGGCACATGATGCTGAATTTGAACAACCGTGTACCTTGTATAGTCATTTCCACTAACGCAAAGTACCTTTACTAAAGGTAAAGCATTATCCTTGGCGTAAGTGCAGGGAGAATTCTGATTTTAGCATTTTGTATTTGATATTTTTATTTTATATGCAGTATTTTATAAGAAATTAGCACAGAAATAGATGGATCAAATAGGCCTTGTGTACATCTTCATTTTCCCTGTGGGGGGGGTGTGTGTGTGTCTTGCACAGCAGCAGGGAAAGTTAACAACTTTTGTAAAGAGATACAGCTTCTAAAACAACACAAACAAAAGCATTGGCTGAGAACATCCAGACAGGTGCAATATCTGACTGTACTTTGAACTCTTATTTTCAAGTGACCTGAATTTTAAATTGGCCGTGTCCCTCTCAAAACTCTAAAATGTTTACTTTTCAGGGCTTCATTTGATTTGGATATCTTTTGAATGTAAAGATCCCAGATTATTTTTGTTTGACCACTAATGGTTTAAATCTAGAAATAAAATAAGAAACAGATTGTGTAGCCATAGGCAAACCTCGCTGTAGAGAAAGTCAGACTATTTATGGCTTTGAACATTTAATTCACTACTTTAATCTTGTGTGAACTGGGGAGTCTATTCTTGTTGCTGTTCTAACAAAAATCTATAATTAGTTGGTCATACTATGTGCATGTCTCATATTATCAGTTGTTCACTTGTAATATGGATACTTGCAGAACAGTAATTTTGGAAATGGGAGCATGCTAGGGCAATGTACTCAAATACATTAAATGGGAACTAGAGAGGGTAACCATTAGGGGTGCACTGATCGAGACTTTTTTGGGCTGATACAGATGGCTGATTTTTAATGAGCCATATTGACCAATAATGATCTGATTGCTGATATGCAGCCCGGCAGCGCAGATAGTAGCGTCCGGCTGGTAAGCCTGTGTGGGGGAAGGGACGAGGGAGGCGGGAAGGGGTAGGGGTGCATTTTGAAGCCCCCAAGGTGAAGGAGGGAGTGAGGTTGGGGCAGGCGCTGCACAGCCAGGACGGAGTGCGGGATGGAGCTGTGAGCAGCTTGTCCAGGGGGTGTGCGGGGGAGGGGGGTGGATCCTGTTGCTATGCGCACCCCAGGAGGGCATGGGGGGGCATGTGCCCCCAGATATTTGCGGGGTGAGGGCAGATTGCTGCTGCAGGGTGTGGCTGGGGTGGCACTGAGTTCTTCCTGGCGGGGGCCTGGGTTGAGGCTGCGTTCAGGGCAGCAGCGGCAGCGCTGGGAGGGGGACTATGGGGAGAGGGCTGCAGCCACCCCAGAGTTCACTGTAGTGCCCCCCCCCCCTTAGGGCTCCCACTGCCCACCCTGAGCGCAGCCTGACCCAAGCCCTGTTGGAAAGAGTCCGGTGCTGCCCTGGCTCCAGCCCGCAGTGACAAACTGTGCTCGCCCCATGTGCAGTTCCAGGGGAACATGCCCCCCATGCCCTCCTAGGGTGCATGCACCAGTGGGAGCCATGCTCCAAAACTCTATAAAATTCCTTCTCTCCTGACTGAGCTCATAAAGAAGCAGCATTTCCTCTCTTTGGCCAACAGATTGCAGTTTTTGGAAGTCTGAGCCTTTTAAATCTTTTTTTAAGGTCTCTGACATTTCTTCTAAATTCAACCCCAGTTCACCTGAGTAAACTTCCCTGGAGTGAAACAGAACTACACTAGAGCTGAATTAATAGACCTCATCTGATCTATCCAATTCCTGGCACTGAGGCAAAAAATAAGTTTTTATAGTACAGCCCCTAATGTGATGTTTGTGGTGTTTTCTCTTCATTGGGTTTTCATGTAATTAAATCAGAAGAATTTCCACTCTTTCTCCAAGAAGAGAAGGGTAAGGAGAAAGGGGTAGAGTTAGTAGGAAGCTGACTCTACCATTGTGAATAGAATCCTCTATTTTGGAGGGGATGGGAGCTCCGCTTCCATGTCTATAGAGTCTGCTTGCATTGGGATAGGTTTTGCAGCTCTTGCAAACCAGGGAATTGGGAACCCACGAAGAGAATAAGTCTAAGTCGCATCTTCTGGATTTTACCTCACAGTATATTTCTGTTGGACGTTAGAGGCAGTAGAGCTGCCTTTGTAACCATGATATGATTTTTGGAATCTCAAAGCATAGAGATGACAGGTGCCTGCTTATAAATTTGTTCCAAGCTGGCTTAAAAATCTATTATATTAATAGATCCCTGTACACAGTTTTCAGTAGTTACTTTATAAAAGCCCTTATCTACTACTAATCTTCCCAGTCAGCTGACTATATTTTTAAATTGTATTCGCTTAGAACTATGTGTTCAAAACTTGGAGATAATCGCATTTCAGTTGTCTTAATGATAAAAAAGCATTTGAAAGGGCTTTGTTAAGTTTTTAATACTTAATTTGATACTATTTTCCTCTTGGCTGGATTGGAATAGATTTCAGTGGTAAGCATAGGGCTTTGTTGATATCTTAGTGCAAAACTGATCATATCTTAATTGCTTCAAGTCTAAATATAGCTAGAAATGCTTTTGCATACTTAAGCACTCCATCTCCCCTTTCCTCAGACATCAGCTAATTTAACATACACTGCTAATCTATTCTATTTTAATTCTTTCCCTAATAGTATCTTATGTCTAGCACCTTTGACTATTCTTGTTACTCCTTATGTTGGGCTAGAATCCTAATTATCTGAAGACTTCAGGTTTTTCTCCTTTTTTCCAACTCTGACTATAATACAGGTTTTCCTCCCCAACCATGGTTTTGCCAACCATGGTTTTGAGTATCCACACTTAATATTCTATATATACAGTTTTGGCTACCATGATGTACAGTTTTGAGTAACCACGGTCTTCTATGGCTGCACATCAGCCATCAACCACCTGCCATTTTTTCCCATAAGCCTTTTGTCTTGCCAACCACAGTTTTGCCAACCATAGGAACTTCCAGGAACCTAACCCCAATGGTTGGCAAGGGAAACCTGTATGGGGAAGCAACTCAACTGTTCTCCCAGACTTCAGTTTTCAACACCTACTAGCTGGCTTACCTCATCATAGACTACCTATAGATTTCAGCAAGGCTGTGCAACCAGCAGGACTTTAGCTGATGTGACCTTTGGCTACAGCCAAGA